TAGAGCAGCAGCTGAAGCAAGGGATAAAGTCGTTGCTAGTCTTTTGGACTAGTCTCATTGTAAGCAGAGATTGAGATTGAAATTATTATTGATTTATGTTTTCTTTGTTTGTTATTATTGTTTTCTTGTTTTATTTGATTATTTGTGATATTGAATAGTATTCTACTATTCAATGGGGGGTGTGTGTGAGGATTTATGAGCGATTTATATTCATTGTGCTTATTGATTGTCAGTTATTATTAATTATTAGTTCATTATTATTCATGAATGTATTTTGTATATAAGAGATTAATTTTTGTGAGCCATTTTGTGCAGTGTGTGGATAGTGTGTAGAAGTGTGTGAGCGTAGTCTGAGTGTTATTGAGTCGTTGGGAGATAGTGTGGTACTATCTATCTTTATTGTTTGAACCAGTAAAGCTGGTATATTATTTGAAAGAGATTCTGTTGAAATATATATTTTGTGAAATTGATAGCGAGCCCTGCATTGGCGAGCTAACTCTAGTGAATCCTGAGCTGAGCTGACTACTAAGGAAGCAACTATATAGACGGGCTGGACGGCATCCCCGAATTCATAGAGAAGACGCCGTGACACCTTGCTCTGTTACTGTGTGGGATACAACTGAAGGAGAGATTAGAGTAAGACATTAATTCCTAATGTACAATGTATATGTCCTTCCATATCTTATGCTAGTATAATGTATGTGTGTGGATAAGTTGACATCTTTTTGTTCTTTTTAATTTTTATATCTTCCATCCTTGATCACTAATTATATTTAGAAGCATCACTAATTTTTCCTCTCTCTCTCTCTCTCCCTCTCTCTCTCTCTCTCCTCTAGTGAAAGTGATTACAATACCAAGTTGAATTGCTTCCTATGAGGTAAGGACTCGTTGTGTATGGACTCCTCAGTCCCAGAGATGAAGGGACTCACTAAAGACCAGGTTCTGTCAATGCATCATCTATCGAAGCAGCTGAGAGCCTTTGAGGGAGAGAGAGACAAGGGGGAGAGAGGAGAGAGAAGGGGGAAGTGAATGAGAGTGAGAGAGAGGAGGAATAAAGAAGGAATGAGGGAGGAAAAGTGAAATAGAAGAAGTTATGTATTCATTGTTCTACTAGGAAGTAACTCTACCTGGTTTTTCATCACCAACAATCATTATGCCACCCAGAGGAGGTTAGGATATGTACATTCAGTTTCAGTTTTCTCTCCCTCCCTCTCTCTCTCCCTTCAGATCTTCATCTTGATGTCAGATTAAACTATCCATTGTTATGTCTCTCAATTGATAATATTCTCAAGGTCATTGCTGCTTTATTAAGTGAACAGACCATTGTGTTCACTTCCTCCAATTACTCAATGCCAGCATTAGCTATACAAGTAAGAGAAGAAAGTATACTATTGTACATGTACTATGTACATGTATGTTTTAAAAATTTTTTAAATTACACGTATGTCTCTTATTTTTGTGTACGTGTACATTGTACATGCATGTGTACATGCACATATTGATGCATATAAATTATGTAAAAAATACTTGAATTATTACTTCATTTTCATTTTAATTCTCTTTTCCTTCTAGTGTTTGTTGAGTTACATATCTCCCTTTGAGTGGCATCACAGTATAGTACCGACAGTTCCTGATAACTTCATTGATATACTCGGAGCTCTTAGCATTAACATACTGGGCTGCCACTCCAACTGGCACGAGTCACCTGAGTTCACTAATGTAAGGAGTAGTGGATCTTTATCACTTGAAATAGCTAATTTTGGAAATTTAAGCATGTAGACTATAGTCCATGTTTTTTTTCAAAAATGACTACAAAATCACTCCAAATTTTTATTACATTTATTGATACATATTGATGTCCATTTGCTATGTAGAATGTTTGAGCTGTTAATTAACTGCACCCAAAAAATTTTTTCCCTGAAATATGTTGGTAATAAAGAAAGAATCATAGGAAAAATAGCTAAAATTATTAAAAAGTACCAATTCTGTACTAAATCTTGGATCAAAACTTGCCTTGCAGCCATCTTGTAAAAACACTTCCGGTGGTGGGCGTGGTCACGCGATGACGTAGATGGGGGAACATTAGCAAGTTTCTGCATTGAAATATTAGCAACTTTAAGGCTGGATTTCTAAGTTCTGCGTGCAATAAAACAATTTTAATGAAGTGGACCATATAGAACTAATCAAGAGCTAACTACAAGCAGTTATA